GAGATAAAAGCTCACCCCAATAAGAAACTAAAAGGGAATAAGTCACCCCAGTATCACAGTGAATGTCACCTGTTTACTCACCACAGCTAAAGATACCCAAGGCTCCTATGAAATCACTATGATGCACTTCTGCAGAGGCCTTGCAGGCTGCCTCGGACACCATCTGCACCCTTTGTCTGCACCTTCTTTCCAGGCCACCACAGTGAAGGATGACCATATCCTTCTCTGGGAATGATGACATTCTCTCTTCCAATGTCAAGAATCTTCCCCCATGTTCTGCCAGGTCCAACTAGAGCTGGCTGGTTTCCAAGGCATTCCTTTCTTTGCTGCCCTGGTCACTTGCCCTTGAAGCACCCTGACTTGCTCCCAGCACTCTGTGGATTACCTTGGATTCCTCTAGAGCTGTGGGCTTTGTTGTGAGCCTTATCAAACCAGCCAAGCATGGCTTTAGCTTGCCTTCTTTCCTCATTCAGTTCTCCTTTTCCCTCTTAAGTTTTCATGGTTATTGAACACTGAATAAGCTTCATTGACCTATTGGTTTATTTTGGTTTATGGGCCCACTTAGAGTTTTGGAGCTTTTTCCAAATATCTGGAGCTGACTGACTGATAAAATACTGTCTTTTTAAAATACTGACAAAATCTGACCTTTTCTGGCCTCAAACTCTAAATTAGTGTATTTATGAAGGATTTCTTCAAGCCGAAGCTGAAAAGCAGCTGAATTTTCATTGGAGCCATGACTAACAGACCTGAGCTTATCATAATTCACAGCTTTGGGTATCCTTTGTCACATACCAGCTAAAATGGCCTTGATACATAATTTTCATTTAGCTTTTCTACCCCATTATAATCTCATGTGGGCCCTTCTTGGAACCCAAGTAATGTAGCAGCTGACTGGTTATTAAAGAATAAGCCTGCAAGGACTTCCTCATTAGCCTGCTTTGCAACCTTTCTAATTCTTTTCTTTCTACTGCTGTACAAGGATGAATTGTATATCTTGCCAGGTCAGAATAAAAGCCATTGTTAGGATACAGAAGGTGTCAGCAAACTTTTAAGATCCTCAGAAAATCTATCAAGTATTTGTTTGCATTGCTGAATACCCAAAACTGAAAAAGGTGCTAGCACTATTGGAACTAACTGTTCCATTAGTGCCTGCTACTCCTCAAAGAAGTAGAGCAGTGATGGACTTAGACAAGTTCCCCAAATCTGGAGCACTGTGGTAAATAACCCACATGCATTGTGGGGCAGATGGCCTTTATCTTCTGAAAGTCATAACTGAGCAGGTTGCTGAGGAGGTATTCTGTGGAAAAGAGGAGCAGACAGAGGGAGTCCAACAACATCAGCTCCTAAGAGATGAAGACTTCCAGGGGACAGATGAGGCCTCTTGCAAAGGCCCATAAATGCTTGGGTATACGGCACCTCTGAGCATTTGTTTCTTTCCTTATGGTAAAGATATAAATGAAATACAGCACTGTATTGCAGGCTGTCAAGGAGGGGCCTTGTCTCATTTTCCCCAAGGGAATACAAAGACATTTTGTTAACAAAGGAATGTAAGATGATCTCTTTGAAGGGTCTTAGTGTGGAGCTTACCCCAGTAGTTAAGAACCCATCTGAGTAGGGACTCATTATGAATAGATGAAGTTATAGATAGGAGTCATAAAAATTAGGATCTAGGTTTCTCCGCCCAGGGGTTGAACCTGATAAGACTAGATTCCTGGGCACTCAATGTCGTTAGTCTTAAGTGAGCATCAGTGCTACTTCGGTTGGACCCACTGAATTTCTCCCATATATACAACTCATCTTCTGAAGATCCTACAACTGGGATGTCTTACTGGCTGGATGCACCTTGGTCCATCGGAATAAGACCTATCCCTAGAGAAAATTCAAATCACTAGATCAAGTCACAAAGCATATAAATTGACAGTAGGCCTCAAAAAGTCAGTCTCTATGTTCTTTCAAGCTGTAGCACAAACTTCAAGCTACAGTTATCATAATGAAAGTAAAACTGAGTAAAAAGGACAGCAAACCAATACCAGCAAACTACCCTAGAAAGCAGCAGCTTTAGGCATGGTTTTAAGACCCAAAGGAAATGAGCCAGCCAGTATGGTTCTACCCACAAGGCCATTGTCAGTCACCGTCTGCTACCAGCTGGTGCATGCAAAAGCAGTGGGTGGTGAGAGGTTTAAACAGACCAACTCTTCTCTTCCCATGCAGGAAGATACTGCACCACTTAACCCTGTTCTTTGTGTTTATGTGAAACCAACACCTAAACAAATGGAACACTGATAGCTGAAAGCCTGAGTCAGAAAGGGGATCAGAAAAGGAGAAGGAAAATAACCAAAACCTGTGGAAAAGAAGCCCTCCAGACCAGAACATGACCCACACTGAAACACAAACACTCTTGATGCTAAACAAGGAAGTACTCAAGTTTAGGGCAAGTTACCGAGTAATTTGCAGAGAAAAGCAACAGATCAGAGGGACAGATCTGTGTCTCCTGGTCCTCTGTTGTGAACAACTTACTCCAAAACATTTGTCTATCAGGTTCTTTTTTCTGCTTTTCTCAGTTTATGCTTGTCTCTGCTGAAGTATGTATCATGGCTTCTATGATGGACTTTCCACATTGTGTGGATCAACAGTGGAATATAAGCCTAACTGATTGCCAGGGTTCCTCCCATCCACCGTTATTGGGGACTGGACTGTATTACATTTAGGTTGATAACCACCGTAGTCTGACAGCAAGGTAACACCACAGCTGAGGCAGCTGCAAACACAGGCTCTCACTCCTTATTCTAGGGTAATAACTGTCAACCTTAGAGATAAGACAGTTCTTTTACTGCAGGAAACGTCTTTGTTCTTTCTTCTCAATGTCCTGCTCAGTTTCCCACCTTTGCCTCAGGTTTTTCCTTTACTTTCTCTCACATCCCCCTGACTTGTTTGAAACCCTATAAATATGAACAATCTAGAGAAGTCTTTATCTTAGTGCCAAGAGAGTTCTGACCTTCCTGGACTTCTCAAACCACATGTGCGTTTTGTCTTTATTTAATCCTTTTGCATAAGCTCAGCATCTCTACAATCTGGAGCCTGATCAGCTCCAGATACCCCATAAGGATAGAAGCCTTTTGTTTCACAGTAAAATATTCTTTTGCATACAGTGATTAATCTGCCTCTCCCAGATACCCATTTTTTTTTTGCCCCAAAAAAGAAAGAGTATCTCCAGACAGAGTGGAGAGTTACCTTCCTTGCTGACTAGACTGTCTCGTTCCCCAGTTCTGTAGAGGAATCGGAGGCTGCTATATCTACAGTGTTTGATAAAGTCTCTTGAGGTTTGGTGATGTCCTAGTTGACTTGCCAGATGTAACAGTTGAATGGGTTAAAAAAATACTCCAAGTTCTTGTGAACAATAAGGAAAGAACTGCAAGCACACACCTTGTGGTAAGTAGTAAGTAACTCCATTTATTGAAGGTCATGTGATGATAGCAGTAGAAACAAACAGAAGCGCAAAGGGAAGAAGGAGGATGAAAGAACCTGTGGTCATAGGTGAAGCTTTTACTGGTGGTGGGGAAGTTCTTTGTGAAGGAGATAGTGGTGGTGTTGACAATGGGTGAGTGGGCATGCTTGGGGGTGGTGTGTTGGCTCAAGGCCTCTGTGCTGTACTAGAGCCTGAAAGGAGGAAGAACTGAAAAAGAAGAATCCTTAATACCTTGGGCTTCCAGTATTTCACAGGTCAGACTCAGGTGCCTCCCACTGTGGCCAGCCACCTTTGACTCCTGGAGCCTCTCATTGAGTCTCTCATGGCAGTCAATAGTCTGCTGCCTTGGACATCATGAGCTCCTAAGATTAAACATGAATAATCATTTGGGTAGAGTTGTGTCCATAACTGAAAGAAGAAAAAAGAGTGGCTCCCTCAGCCTCTGTATATTGTCAGGGCCAAAGTAGGGTTTCCTACACATCACAGAGGCATCTAGGTGGTTTCAAGGGGGCAGAGCTGGTCAGACGCCCTCTCCCACAGCCCCCACATTAGCTAAGGCTGGTAGCAGCACCACCTGATTCTACTAGTGTGTGCCTGCCTATATCTTCATGATTTTAGTCTGAATTCCACCTTTTCCACTGAGCAGCTGTGGCAGATTGGATGCATCAGCTATCTACTCTGAGCTGTGGTTTTTTCATTCGTAAAATGGGGAAAATTATAATATTTATCTCATAGAATCTAAATAAGTATTGAAGCCATAGGAGCTAGCACACAGTAAGCCCTGAGCGAAGATCATTCGTGGCAATGTTCAGTGACAGTCTTTGGATTATACACATCAGCTGTGCATAGAGACAAACATATATGTTACATTTTTATTTTGTTTCTCTAGGAGACTTAAAAGCTAACCTTTGGTGACAAAACCAAGGATGCAAATGCTTGCCACATGTTCATTAGCTAAGTGCTAATGTAGTAGACCTGTCCCAGGGCTATAAAATACTGGCAGCTGTGTCTCTGCTTGGCATTTCAAATATTAGTTTTTCTCTCAAGGAGCCAGTTCAGTACTCAACATTGTGTTATTTGAGTTAGAACTTTAGATTGCTGCATTTTAATGTACTTACCGTTACAGATCATTGGCCGGCCATGAGAAAATATTTTTGTTCTCATGATACAGTCCTGGGCAGGTAGCCTGATAGACAAAATACAATTTACACAAATATTATTTCTGGAGTGCACACTAAAAAGAAACCATAGAATGGAACTAGAGAAAGTGTGTCCCTCAGCATTGGGTTATCTGGGCAGAGTTGGCGTTTAAAAAAGGGGCATTTTATCTGCTTTCATCTCTAAAGGTCCCCTGCTCTCCCAGAGTCCTATGTTCCTGGGCAGATATTTCTGTTCCAAGGAGGGGGAGCTTCTATTTGGGATCACATTTCCCAGGCAAGCTGAAGGCAAAATAGGAAGTGGAAGACTCAGCATGGCTCAGTGTTCTGGAGATTCTGATATGGATTTCCCATGTCTCCTGTCTCTTTTTGCCTAGAACAAAGAAGTGACGTGCCGGCGGGAGAAGTGCCCAGTGCTGCCGCGGGACTGTGCCCTGGCCATCAAGCAGAGAGGCGCCTGCTGCGAGCACTGCAAAGGTGGGTCCCATCCTGGCTGTGGCCTTGCCATGGCCTCCTGCTGTGCTCACCTTTCTTTTCACTCTGCTTCTGGCTGTGGGCTGTGGGCTGTAGGGTGTGTGTGTGTATGCATGCATGTGTGCGTGTGTGTTGGGGGACTGAGGGAAAGGGGGGATGGTAGAGTGAGCACATGTGTATTTATTTTTAGGGCCAACTTGTTGAAAATATCCTAGACAAGATGTGGACACAGAACCTGTGCACAGTTGTATGCACAGTTCCCATGCACAGTTCTGCATATGCACGTGGGCATTTTTTACCAACATGTTTCACTTGGATTTCCCAGGTTTCACACTCACCCTGCCCTCGTCAGTCAAGGGAATCTTTAAACTCAAGTGTTCCCATTTTGTTCCATTAAATATTTCTTGCCTTTCAAAATTAAATATAAGTTTTTCTGCTTGTTTTTGTAGAAATTCTGAGATCACTTTACCCTGGTTGCTTTATGTGGCTCTCAAGGCTCATATCCTGTTGTTTGGCTTTACTTCACCCAAGGGAGTCACCATGTAGGCAGTGATTCTCAAAAAGGGCCTCTGTGAAATGTACATTCCTGGTCATTGTCCTCTGATAGGTATAGTCACTGATATCATCATCCGTTTCATCAAGACAGTAGCAGCTGTGGTCAACATTACCAGGAGGGGCTTCCTGGGATCCAGGCTCTGCATGCTCACACTGTAATGTGTAATGTGTGAGCTATTAGAAAGCTATGTTTAACATACTGAGAGGCTTAGTAACTTGTCCAGAGTCACAGAACTTGTCAGTGCCAGAGATGGGGACAGACCTAGTGGCCTAGTTTCCTGATTTTATATTTTTAAGTCTTTTCTGAGACGGTCATGAACCCACAAGCTAGAAGTGCCTTTTTCCATGAGAAATGAAGGAAAGGAAGAATGAGGTTGGTTTTCCTGATGAGGGATGAAAACCCTATCCTTGAAAAGCTGTACCAGTCAGCATCTTTTTGGGGTGAGAACTCTCCTCATTCTTTGTTGCTAGGTAGCCACGGTTTCTCTTGTTTGGCTCTCTTCCTGTTTGAAAAATTTATATCCTTTGGGGTGAGGAATCTTTTTGTTCTTATGACCAGGAAACCTAATCATTATGACCAAGAAAACTTATCCCAGATGCCGACCTGCTGCCAGAGGCTTATCAAGTCTCTCAATCCTGAAACTAAGTGGGGTTGGAGACTTTGGTCCCAAAAGCTGGTTGCCCCCTCCCATCACTCATTGAAGCTTTTTATGCTTTGTGTTTTCTGACCTCTCTCCCTTTCTTAGTAGAATTGTGTTTAATTTTAACTAGATACCTACTACAGTATCAGTTATCTGATAGTCTCTGGCACTGACAATACTTTATCATTCTAAGTCACTTCAATAGGAAAGAGAAACCTACCTTGTTCAGAAATAACAATTATTTTCAGTTGATTGTACCTCTCTCAGATCTTATGTTTATTACATGCATATAGTATTGATTGTGTACTTTTTATTTGTACAGAAATGGACTGAAACTGTAATATATTCTTTTTTAGGTTACTTTTTAAAAAAAAAATTAACAAATATGATATAGAGATTGTTCCCAGGCAAGTTCATGTATTTGCAATTGTTGCATGAATCCTGCAACACTAACATACAGCTCCTGGCTGGTGGATGTTTGGATCTTAGTTTTTTGTCAGACCCCAGGGAGCCAGCCTGCTTTTCCTCTGTGCCCACATCTGTGTCTCTGGAGGGCAGAGACCTGGGAGTCGGAGCGTGGTGGGAAGGATGTGCACCACTGGTTAAAATGTGGCCACGTCAGTGAGTGGACTCCCGCAAAACAAGACTGCTGCCCTGTCCTCCCTTGAGAGCTTTCAGGCTATTTCCTGAAGATGAGAGAGCGGAGAAGGGCAAGTGGTGAGATGTGTGGCAAAGCGCACACACAGGATGAGTTAGCCCTAAAAACCCGCCACCATGCAGCCTGAGTTCCCGGTCCAGTGAGCAATGACCTCACTGCAGACTGAGTCACACTCAGACCTGTGCTGTCTGCTTCTGTTTCCCCCATATTATGAGGATGGTCTCCTCTTTTTCATGGGTGAGAAATGCTGAAAGGGTCCAAAGAGAGTCTCAAGGAAGCTTTTAGTGATTTTATGTTTTCTGATGAGATATAGAAAGTGCTGATGGCTGTCAGTGAGTTAGGACGTGATTGATTCTGCACACGGCTGGGCCTGGTACTGCAAAGTTTTGGCCACAGGCTTAGCTAAGCTTAGAACAGGGGCTGGGTGAGGAAAGGGAGATGCTTTGCCCGCTGCTCTTTCTCAGAAGGATTCTTCATAGAAATACTGTTAGTGTCAGCCTCTTCACCAGTGCACCCTGCCCCATGCCTTCAGGGGCCACAGAGATGAATCCTCCTTCCTGTTTCCACACCGCCACCCTGGAAAGCACTGGGAGGGAAGGCGAGTTACCACCCATTCCCCACAGCTGTCTCTCACACAGCGGCATCTGAAGCTCCTGTAAGATTCTGCATCCAGGTTTCTGTTTTATTCTGGTGCTGCCTCCACTGAGAGTACTTCTGTGAGTAAGGCACAGGGCTAACTTCGTTCTTTAGAATAACTGCAGAGGATGCCCTGTGCTGCCTGTCAGTCCCTGTTACTCTGCCCATTGGATGGGCCTTTCAGTCCTTCTTTCCTTGAGACCAAAGTGCTGGTGAAGTATTCAACTCTTCAGTGAAGACACTGTTCCCACAGGAAACATGATTTTCCAGCTGTTGGGTCACCTGCTTGGATCTCCCAGGACTTCTGCGGAGACCCATGAAGGGCGGATCCATCTGACTTTTAGTGCAGTGTGCAGTGCAGTGTAGTGTGCAGTGCAGTGTGGTGGGCAGGAAGATGTGACCTCATGTATTTTAAGGACTTTACCCTGTCTGTAATCTGTATGTGTGTGTGTGTGTGTGTGTGTGTGTGTGTGTGTGTGTGTGTGTGTGTTTTACTGGTAACTGAACCTAGGCCTTCGCACATGCTAGACAAGTGCTCCACCACTGAGATACACTTCCTTCCCCAGCCTCACGTTTTAAGAGCTTTATTTTGAAACAGGGACTGCTAAGTTGCCCAGTCTGCATTGTAATTTATGATCCTCTTGCCTCAGCTTCTCAAGTAGCTGGGATTATATTTGGTGTGTACTGCCACACTCAGCTCCACCTGCTGTCTTCATAAGACACCTGAAAGGCACTTGTTTTTACCCCTGCTGGCTAATGGGTTAGTTGGTTTATCACTTAGTCCTCACAGCAGAGATAATTTCTTTCTTATTTTATATATGAGGACTCTGCAAGCCTAAAGAAGTTAAATCATTGCGTTTCCAAGGTGTCAGTTTCCCAGAGTTGAGCACCAGGTGTCGAGGTGTCCTTGTCCTTGAATAGTTTGCTCTCTTAGGATAGAGATACCATCTGGGGGGCATCATTCAAGCAGATGAAAGAGGACAGCTGCTAGCGAGTGATGGAGCATGGGCCTGGGGTGGCTTTTGGAAACTGCAACCTCTTTGTGAGTGAGTTGGTACTGCCCCTTCCTTAGAGTGCTGGTGCAGGGAGGCTCCAGGGCAGACATGGTACCCCCAGGTTCTGAGATGTCACTGGCCAACCTACGCACCTCAAGAATTTGTCAGAGTGCCACTTCCTAGGGTTCTTCCAGAGCTGCTATCTTCAAACTATTTGTGATAAGTGTTTGTGCGTTGCTTGCTTGGGGACAAGTAAGAGGAATGATACTAAAGTAACACAATTCTAACCTAACTTCTACTAATTTTCCCCTGAAAAAAGACATTGATATTGAAGAGGAGGTGGGAGAATAGATCAGCTGGTGGAAAGAAATGTGACAGCTCCTATTTCCAGAAGTTCTCTTAGGAAGGTTGTCTGTGTTCATGTTTGCTTTAATTAGATTGTTGTATGTTCCATTTCTTCATTAATTCAACAGTACTATTTACCAATGTTATTATTCAACAGTATGTTATAATTCAACAGTATTATTTACATGTAGGAGGGTGTGGCTAGCCAAATTGTCCTTAAGTTTTATGGAGCCAGAATATTCTATAAGACAAAAAAGTAAGTAGAGGATAACTAATTCCTTTCCAGCAAGTATTTCAATGTACTTTTCAGATTACTATTATGCTAATAATGACTATATTTTATCTGAATAACATAACTGGGCAAAAGATTATATTTTTTAAAAAACTCAGTATTGTTTGGTGAAAACAAATGAGATCATTGGGAGTCAATAGCTTTGGCAGTTTTGGTGCATTTATTCGGATGCAAAATCACCTGTTAACTTGGGATTCTTTCATGAACAATAATGTGTTTGTTATCTGAATATATGTTTGTTATTAGTAATGGGTCATAAATGCATGAGGTGTGTTTCAAACTTTGTAGGTCGAATTCCATCCTCTTTTCCTACAAAGCATGAATTGATTGTTCACGACACTTTGATGAAAAATAAAAAGTAAAATTTTTTCATTTGTCAGGCAAGGAGCCCTGTGTTCTGGGCTTACTGTTCTGTGGATTATGATCCACTAGCCTGCATTTTCTGAAATTTTAATTTTTTTCCATTTTTATTATTAAGTTTATTGGTACATTATGGATATACACAATGATCATATTCATCATAGGAAACTTGTACTGATATATGATATATTTTGATCCCTCTTTTTTCCCAATCCCCTCTGCTCCCTGCAGCCCATCTTCCCTTCCCCATTTAAAAAGCTTCATTTCCATTTTATCTTCTTTTAAAATAATTATTTCCTTTTCCTTTACTTCCTTTTCCCCACCCTAGTTCTTCTTTCCTTTTGAACAGTTTTTTTTCCCATTTCACAATATGTGTTGTACATTTGTGTCCTTCTTTGCTCTGTTAGTTTCTCATGCCAGGGAGATAATGTGATGTTTACACGAGTCAGATTTATTTCACTTAAAGAGTATGGTCTCATGTTGCATTCATTTATCTAGAAATGCCTCAGATGAATCCTGTA